TATAGGCAATAGACTTGGACAAAGCATCCGGTATACTATAAAATCACAAACCGATTTCTATTTGATTAGTGTGAAAAATATTTTGTCTGATCATAATGATCCGCATAAGGTCGCAGGATAAAACAAACTTCGGTTGTTGATAAGCGAAACACCAATCTGATCAAACTGCCCTCAATGTCTTTTTGAACGCAATTCGTCTTGGTTCTGGTCAGTGGGATGTGAAAGTTTTCAGTGATCTAATGGTAATTGATGTTTTGGGGCGACAGCCAGATTTCAGTATGTCACAAGGGGCAGGTCGACGCGCCGTAGAAGCGGTAGTTTTGTTAACTGTAACAACGCCCTTATGTAAGTATGAGACTAACAAGTATCATGTCGCTTGAACATTATCATAAATGAACTTAGAGCCCAAGCTCAACAGCGTGTGCGCCATAACAGTTTCACAGGGTATATACAGCGTGAAATGAAACTGAAAGTTATATGTATATGGATTTTACGAACGAGAATCTGAAGCTCTCGAGTGCCGACCACATGCAAGCACAGCTAAGAAAAAAAGGAGGGGAAGGGAGAGTTCCTAAGGGTACGTTGAAGATGGTGACGGGCGGATGCTTGAACATGCTTTATAAAAACGAGTTTAGGACGATAAAGTTAATATATTCCTGGCACGACTCTGGGCAGTCAAATTATGGTCCTATTTTATCAATGCCATCTTTAACTGAACCCTTACAGCTAGCTGAAAGGCCCAGTTCATCACAAAAGAAAAAACTGCTGTTTTCATTACGGGAAAAGTACAAAGTTGCTTACATAAGTTTTCAAAAGATTTTTGCACTCTCTCTCTCTCCGTAACGCATGGCCCGTAAATGATAAGTCCCTCTCACAATCCAGGGCCCCCACACTGCACGCTTGGATTGCGACTTGTTACAAAACGAGCCCGAGTCCAAAACTTGGGTTGCGTGTTCACCTCTGGTATATCTTGCACCTGCCTCAATATTTCCGTTACCTAAAGTACGTTATGGGCGAATCAAGTATTTTAAGCAGTGTCTTTTCAATTAAACATTTCTTTGGTGTGACTTACATTTCATGAATACTGCTGAGTTGAAAGGGTTTCTTCCTTTCTTTCTTTCTTTTCTTTTTTTTTTTTTTTTTTTCAAAGCAAAACTTTGTGAATTCCCGGATACTTTTTAAGTTAACGCAAACACGACGGAGCCTTGGGATAAATGAAAAAAACCTTGTCGTTGAATGCATACAGTGCGATAGCGAACAAGTGGCACTGGCTTAGTACTTATCACCTTTGCATAATTTATGATTCCTCTAACATCTATTACTAATATACCAGTAATTACATGATATGCGACAGTGGATGTGCTCGCAGTTGAAAACGCTAGTAATGTAACGTTAGTAATATAATGCGTTGCTGTAGCGAAGACAACAGAAGTGTAATGTGTTCTTAGTCTCAACAGACACAAGATGAATCAAATCTTTCCTCTTAGCTCGGACTCTCATCCATGATAACCGAAATATGAGGTAATTTCACCGTTTTGCTTATCGTTTCACTTCAAACTGCAATGAGAAGACGAGGATCTGGGTGATATTTATTTTTCACTTCATAAATCCTTATTTTCACTATCTTATCAACGTTTTAGCATAAAGTGCCTTGTTTTTAAATTCTCGTTAGTTATTTTATACTACAGCTGTAGAACTTACTTTTATTTAAATTGCATGAGTAACACGAAGGCATACTAAGGTAATGAACAGTTCTTTTTTATACATTTTAATGCTTTTTCAGCTCTTTCGTTGTGACCAAATTTTGCAATCGTTTTTTTTTTCCTTAGATATTGTCTGGAATAAAACTGTCGAAGTATTACTTTTGCAAAATTGCCACCTAGACGAAATGAATTTTTTCTATATTAATTACCACCACTACTGGTACATCGACCTGAAAGAAAAAATAATTCAGGTAAGCCACAAACAAGTCTGAAATTATTATTATTATTATTATTATTATAAACATGAACCCGTGTTGTGACACATGGGAGTCACACAGATTTGACGTTCTTTTTTCAATAGTGAAAATTTATACTAACAATTGAAATAAAAGGCCGCTGTTGGTCTTACACGATCTTTAAAAAACAAGGGAATAAAAATAAGGGTGATAACGAGGGAGAACTTTCCCTAGGGTTAGACGCCCAGTGGTATTACCTGGCTCATGCAATACCGGTACAACAATGCCCCCAGACCAACCCTGAGGAATGCACTTGAACCCCGGGGCACAGGGACACTCCAAAACCATCGCCTGTGGCTGGCCAGACAGAGAAGACGGGTCACACCCTGTGGAAACAATTTTTTTTATCTCTGAAAGTCTTCACTTAAAAATTCTTCACTTTGAAAAGAAAATATTTTTAAAATTTCGAGTATTCTAAAATCTTATTTTCAAAGGTTTCCTTTCTCTTATTCAAACCCTGAAGTTGAGTGCATCGTTAGATTGATTTTGAAAGTAATGAAAATGTATGATACACTGTACGTAATCAAATACCCATCGATTAGAGAGTATCCTAAACAAATATGGGAATAATCGAATGCATAAATCGGTAATAAAAATAGTACTTACAAGATCCGCTTGTGCCCAGTTTCGAGCACATTCCGAGTTGACTTAACGACCTCTTCCTCCCTATGGGTTGCAGGAGAGATACGCAGCACTCGTCGTCATTGCAGTGTGAGGCGTTGTTACACACGCCGCCATGGCCGGGAGCAGGAATGCTCTGGAAAATGTTAACTTAAAACTTAACAATTGTTTTTCCCGTGCCTCTTTCAAAAACCAAAATGTTCCCCTTCCTAACTACATAGGATGACGCTTTGTGAAATTAAAATTAATTTTGCACCGATAACTTCTTCGATTCTGAAAAATGTTAGGTTCTATAGTATTAGGCTCTAAAAGCGAATTCATTTTGTGGCCTTCGATTGTGAAAAACAAGTATTAATGTTCATAAGTCTGGACTCAAGAAGACTGGGACAGTCCAAAGAGAAAGAAATGGGAGAAGCAGGATGGGCATTGGGACAAGTGCAACAGAAATTTCAAAGACCAACAGCACTGAAAGTCTCTGGTGACGGCCTTATATATACATGTACAACGCCGCACAGATAATTTTCTGTATGATGACCAAACGTTACAATGAAATCAAATAATTTAGTCAATATCGCAGTCAATAGCAAGCGACTTTGTATTGTTTTTCGATTTTATGTCATTAACCGGTGAAATCCACATCGTACTTAGCACTCTAGTGCTTTTGTATTATGACTATTATCACATAATACAATTATCATTACAATTAAACCTACCTGTACCGCCACAGCCATACAGATAATCAAAAGGAATAGCGTCTTCGGCATGTTGGTAGTGCAGTGACGAGATGTAATGTGGTGCACATCCACTTTGTTTTTATCTGCAGAATAACACTTGCTTTAGTTCTCACATTAAATCCTGCTGAGGCACACCTTATCTGTCATAATTCAGGAATTTTAGGTCACCGTTTGAAATTTGCTCACGTCATGTTCAAAAGAAAAGTTGACAGCAGATAATAATAATAAACAACCTAAAACTTGAAAGAAGAGTGTTTATTCAAAAGCACCACTTAACTCCATAAAGATGTTGCAACTACTGAAATGCAGTAAAACAAAAGACGTTACACCAGAGTGCAAATTTGCCTTAAATGCATTTGTTTTTTAGACATGTTGAAAAAAGTCCTTTTATTCGTCTTGGGTGGCATAACGCGCATAAACACTGTCTGAAAATATCAACGCAAAATTTCATTTGATATCTGTCTGTTAAAACGTAGTACTTTCTTCATATAATATACACGCCTTCACTGTGAATAATGGAAAAACAGTTTGTTTGCAATTGCAAGCTGCAGTAACAACAATATCTCCAGAATAAATTAATTTACACTATCAATAAATACTACAACAGTATAATATACAATATATGTCAGAGAGAAATTGTTGGGTCAAACTCTCTTCTTCGTCCCAGTTTTAGTGGGAGTTTTAGATCCGGTTCTGGGCTGCTCCACTTCCAAGCTGGCTGCCTCTGCCATCCTCTTATCCATAGCTTTCAGGACACGAGCTCTGATCTCGTCAGGGTTGAGTGGCCTCACATCTTCCTCTTCCTCTTCTGTGTCACTGTCTCCACTGCAAAGAATAAAAGTTTGAATCACATTTTTTTTCTGACATTACTTTTTAACAAATTAAAAGTTTTGCATTCTAAGAGGCAAAACTAGTTGACATGTCTGTTGTTTCACTACTAATCTTTCCTTACAATGCAAAGAGAATAAAACCACTGAAAAAAATTTTTTTTTGCAACTCCAGTTTCCAGCTTTCGACCCATATTCAATGTGGTAACTTACCGAGGAAGAACCACATTAGACAGGCTGGGTTTGGTAGGTTTAGGTACAGCTACAGGAGCAGCTTGGGCAGCAGCACTAGGTGGTGGAATGATGCCTTGCTCCTGGAAAATAATATACAGGCCAATGAAATATAGTTCAGTGTTGTCAAATATCTTTAATACTATATGGTTTCATTTTTTTCTTTGTAAAAAAAATGAGTTTGCACAAGCCTGCAATTAAAATTCTTCTATACCACTTTCAAACAAGAATGAGTTCATCGTCTCACTGCTTGCAACAATATTATCGATAAAATGCATGAAGAGAGAACAGAACATAGGCCAACTTAATGTTAAATTGTTTTATATATTAATAAGAAAAGTGTTCTGAAAAGGATTCCATTCACTGCCCTCCTCAATATCAGCCCATAATTATACCTACCTTCATCTCCAAATATTCCTTCACAGCCAGCACTTCGTTGGTCCTCTGCTCAATCAGCCCCAGGTACATCATCACATTGCTGTCTGTGATGCCCACACCAGCCCCCAGCATCTCCCGTATTGGCTTGTCATCACAGCCAGTACTGCTGAACATGGCACCTATCTGCTGACGCAAATTCTCCATGGACTTGTTCACCTCCTTCAGCCTTTGCTGAGATTTCTCCGTTTGAGCTGTGGCTTTCTGGATGCTAATCTGAATTTTTTTAAAATTAATAATAATAAATAACAACAAAATTACACTTGCACTCATTATACATGATGCACGGGCCCAAGATTTTTAATAACAAACCCATTCATAAATTTTCTATTTTTATAAAATGATAAAAGTTAAGTAAATAAAAATACACACGATAAATTGAAAGAGAAAATAAATAATTATGTAATAAATAGTTTATTGCATATCAAAGTTCACAACCTGTGCCTCTTAACACTGACCTGCAGTTCTTTAAGCATCTTCTCTCTGCTGTTATCCACAGTGGCCTCCTCACTCTTGAACCTATTGATGTCCTCCTTGATGGCACTGATCTCTTCATTCAGCAACTCAACTTCATGGTTCACCTCATTGGCATAGTTAAACAGTGCGAAGTTCTCACCCTCTTTCTCAATGAACTGTTTCACTATCACATCTATGTCCTGCTCTCCTGTGGCAGTTTTGATGCGTTCAAAAGCTTCCTCGTAGGTTTTGATCTTTTCTTGATTCTGAGCAATGGCCTTATCAGCATCCAATCCTAGCAAACAGAGTTGAAAGTCATTGAGGCAAATGTGCTGGTAATCTGGGTATTAAAATTATTGTCGAAATTAATTTAGGGATAATATTATATGTCAGAAATAAAAGGGAAAAGGAAAAAAAAAACAACTAAAGAAAGAAAATGAATTTTAAAAAATGAATTAATAACAACTAAAATTTACCATCATATTAGGAGCCTGCATAATAGCACCATCTGGTTTTTCAGATTCTTGCAGACAATCTTGTCAACTGGAGACTGCCTCATACCTGTGACAGTCATTCATGTCATTGTGCCATTAACCAACTTTTTGGGATTTATATTTCCCACACAAAATGCACTAAAATGGCCCATCCCAAATGATACTGAAAAGTTTGCATGGCTAGCCCAAATAAAATCCTGTTTCCATAATAGTTCTATTTAAAAAAATAGTCCAAGTGACAAAAGCAGTGCTAGTTAACAAGACTGTCAGCACTGAACTTTGAAGTTGTGGTACATACATGTAATACACCCTGAAAAACACTCCCTGAATCTCCTACAAACAGCTTTTACTCATATACAATTGCACAGGATGAATTCAATGCATGTGTCCAGTATAAGTTATCATTATGTTCACCTTTGCTCACAGTGTTTTCCCATTCCTTAAATTTGTTTAGGATTTGTGTGGAGGTTTTCTGTGCCTGCTGCATAACTCCCAACACATCACTCACAAACACATCACAAGCTATAAATAATTATAATAATACATTGAACTAAAAAATATTATCCTCAGCAACCTATAACAAATACTATACTAAGTCTTGTGTGTTGAATTTGTGACATATTGCATAAAGCTGAAAAAATTTGAAAGAGACATTACTTTATTTTGAACTTGTGACGAAAAAATATGTTATATATTTTATATATAGGCTGCTGAGGAATAATATGGATGACCAAGCAAAAGAACAAAAAAGGTAAACAAGACAGCAAAGCTGGTACATGAACAGACATTGACCAAAATTATTGAAGAAACAGATCGTAAACATTCCTGCTTATATAGACAAAAGAGAAATTTTCTTCAACAATTTCAGCAATTTTCACATAAACAACAAGGCTAATGAAAACATCTCTGTAAACTTCTGTATTAAAACATGTTTTTATAAAGCACAAGTCCTGCATTAAAAAGAAACAGACATGTTCTGAATATATGCAGACATTTCATAATTTCATAATGTCTGTGCATAAATAGTAAGTTAACAGAAGCAATATTAAAGTGGTTACGAAAAAAGAACAAGAATAAAGATCAACAAGAAATACATAACTACCAGTAAATCATGAAATGGGTAAAAAAAAACAAAAAAAGAATTCTACATATATACTAATCTTAAACATACGTCACATATTTGTAGATATTGATATATTAATTGGTTTCATATCTTTTACTCAGATTTTTTTTTTTCAATCATTCTAAAACTCTTCACCATTTGACCTTACTCCCTTACCCATCTTCTTTTTCTTAGCCATTTCCATCAGTTTGTACTCCATCCTGTCGTGGTCCTTAATTGTCATGAACTCCCTCAGACTCTCATCATTCTTGATCATTCTCTGCAAGTCCTTCATCTCCACATGGTAGTGAGCCTCATCTCTCTCTGTGCGCTCCTGGAGACTCAGCATCTTATTGTTAGCATCATCTCTGCAATAATTGCACAAAAAAACTTTCAAATTCTCAGGTGTGGTATTGTTCAATGAAACAACAGCATCATCTCTGCATAAAGAGTCAATGTGTTTATTTTACCTTAAAAGGTAACATATTTTATACCCATATTTGTTAATTGGTCTATTGTCGTATTGAGTATTTTGTATGTACTAGCATGTGTTTTTGTGTCAGGTGTACCAGAATACAAGTGCAGTCAGAGCTGAATCTACCTGGACAGGGTGACAGCATTACCAATGTTCATAATGCAAATACCATGCTGACCACACACTGATTGACATTTTTATGTACATATAACATCACAAAATTTCCAAACTACCTGCTATCATAAGCAGCAGTTGCTTCTGCTATTATCTCCATTACTTTATCTTTGGACTGCTGCAGTTCTGCAGACAACTTCTTGTGTAAATTATCAAACACGGCTCTCTCTTGCCTCAAGTGGTCTATTTCTTCACGCAGTTTGGCATTTGTAGCAAGCTGCTTGTTTAGATTCACCATGGCCTAAATTGAAAAAATGAACAATTGAAAGGATCTTTTTTATGTCTTAAATATCCTTGGATACTACGTGTACACTTTGATCTGAGCTAAAAGGTCAAGAAAAGATCATTTCTCTTAAACCATAATTATTATAATTACTCCACTTAAACAATGAAGATACACACCAGACACACTTATTCAGTGCATATATCTAAGATCAGACATTTTGACAAAAATTCATTGACATACCAGTATATTGGTCAAGAGCTTACAATATGAGTGATTTTTTTCCTGCTTTTTTACAACGCAACAATTAAAAGTGTTAAATGTGGTAACTTGATTCAATAACAATACAATCTTCTTTGCCACCGAAAGAAAAGTATATTAAAGTTCTACATCAAAAAAAAAAAAAAAAAAGAAAAATATCATGTTGACTAAAATATATCTTTTTGAACAAATTATAGGGAAAAGCCACAAAATAAAGGTTAAATTAAACCAGCCTTGTCAAGTCTGTTTTCCAATACTCTCAGTCTTTTGCTTGTCGCATTGGCCTTGGTGGCGCTGTTGTACAATCCACCCATAGTCATTCTCTGGTGACAGATCTTTTCTTCCATTGCACGAATCTAACAGAAAAAAATCTCAGTATTAGTAGTCATATTATTTCTTTGAATATATCATGCAGTAGAGAGAAGAACGGATAAGATTTAAATCTGTAAGAAAGGAAAACAAAGCAAAAGATAAATATGCACTGAACTACATGTAGTGTTTTTATTGGATGAATCAAGTTAAAACTTTCGCATTAAAAATGGCACAGTCATTTTTTTTTCCTCAGATATAAATTGTTGGCTGTGAAAAAAAAAACCCATGATATGCCTACCTCTTGCTTGTTTCTTACTTGTGTCTCTAAATACAAAGTGTTTGATAGACATCCCCAGTGACTCAAAAATTATCAGACATTCACAAGAGTTTTTCAAGGGAAATTATTTTAAATCGAACATGTACAGTTGTAAACATATAAATGCATTTATTTACGTGAAATAATTTTTTTACATTTCCTTTGATGATGATGATGATGATGATGATGAAGATATCCTATGATTGGAGTATCTAATGGAAATTACATGAAAGGCATTTTTTCTCACATGAATATCAAAGTATTTTGGCACAACAGAAATAACTTAGTGATTTTACTAATTTATTATAACTGTAAAATAAGTTAATGAAATTTAGCAGTGGCAGTGCCCACTTACAAATAAAATGAAAAGAAATAATAATAATAATAATAATAATAATAATAATAATAATAATAATAATAATAAAGCAAATACAATAAAAATGAAAAACCTGCAAACCTGACCTGTGCATCCATTTGAGCTATCTTTAATTTTTCACCATCAACAAGTGCTTTGTAATCATCAGTGCTCTGAATGAGAAGTTGTAGCTGTTCAGTGTTGTACATATCTTGTGCACATTTCTTATCACTCAAAGCCTGCATCAGATCCTTATTGATCTCTTCATTTTCTTTGGTGAGGGCATTGATTTCTGCACTGTTTAATAGAAATCAAATGTTAGTGCTGTTACCAACACTTTTAATTACTGAAGAAGCATGTAATTAATACAAGAAAGAGGACAAACAGTGGCCCTTCATGTATGCCCCAGTATCTGCACATTATGTTCAGTTTTTTGGGAAGGATATTTAACAAGCTCCAATTTTCAGAAAATGGATGGTTTTGTCTTTAAGTCATTCCATCTGTAAAACGATAAATAATGATTGTAACAAAGAAAAGAATGAGTTTGTTCCAACTAATGGAACATCACGTCAGGATTTACATTGAGCTTACACATGTAAAAACTACAGAAATAGTGAACTTAATTTTTAGTGGTGTATGAAACAAAAATTCTTATTTACTTTTGCTTTTTGATAATGAATACTGATTTTTCTTGATATGCCTTGCGATCTCCTTCCATAATCCGCAGTTGTCTCTGCAGTCGTGCCAGCTCCATCTCCTGCAAACTTTCCTCGCAGAAATCATCTTCCTCCTCCGTGACGCGCTTTCCTGTAGCTTTCAGCATAATGAGAACTCTGCAAAAGACACATTGTCTTACGGTACCTGCTATTTTTGCAGTTAAGCATTTAATTAATCTCTTTAATTTGACCGACGCTTTTTTTCTTATCAAGATATCATAACAATAACGGACCCAAGGCTGAGACATCGTAAATTCGTCTGCTACGGCTGCCCAAACACAAAACACTCGATTACTTTGGACGATCTAACTAAAGTTAACATTGTTGAAGCTTTTAATTCCTCACCTTAAATGAGAATATAGAGTGTATATTCGGTTTAGAGAATAGCACAGTAGACGAAAAACCGTGTTTCACGTTCAAACGAAAGAAACAATAAATATTACAAACGTGCGCACGGTCTAATCGTCGCATCAAACATGGCCACATTGTGACGTCATTCTAATTTGAAAACGAGACCAAATTTCGTTTACCAGTATGTGTCCTACTGGTTTACGTATTTCAAATTAGCCCCCTCATTTCCACAGTTTTTTAAACAGTGCTTCATGTGCTATGAGTATATTTGGATATTTCGCATTCATTGCTGCGTTTTACGGGTACAATTGTAACGGTTGAATATTATGAGGAGTGAAAATTTGGACCTTCATCTATGCAGCATTTTTAACTTGGACATCACACGTTATTTCATTTTATAGCAGCATTTTGCCAGTTTAGTTATTCATAACAAACACAGCTATATTCCTCATCTGATGAGACATTTATTCGTGTTAAATATTGCAAAAAACACTTTCAACAGTGATTCTGAAAACTTGACATTGTGATACATGAGTGATCGTCAAACTGGTACAAAGCATGAGCTTCACCTGCAAAATGGGATTTCTACTGAGCATAATGAACACTGTACAGCACCAATTTTACACCTATCACATTCATACATATATCACTTTAACAACTGTTTATGATGTAAATTAATGCTTTTCTCATCTGGTGATTAAACCTAGTCATGGTTAATTTAAAAGGTGAAATTATTACATATCCATGTATGTACATATACTCTGAACTTTTAAATAGTCAAACAATGTACATTCAAGCAACATGTACAATAACATAAAACTACAAAAATAATACCTTATCAATACAATACTTTATTTTTGGTACAGTCTTAAGTGGAAGAGTAAACAGAAATAAGGGAGGGGGATTTCATAGCACACAAACAGTTAATAACTATTTTTTCAAATGATATATTAATTTTTCCAATTTCTTTGACATTGTCAAAGAAAAAACTGCCAACTTGGAGAAAGATAGAGTTAACAATCATATATAAACTGGATACATAGAAAATTGAAGCATTTATATATATATATGATATTCATTAGATAAACATACATACTTTTTGGAAAAAAATACCCAATATTATATGAACAGTTGCCTGAAATTGTAGCCATGATGCTAATCATTAACAAAATGAAATATAATAATTGGAGCTAAAAATAATATTGTAATTTATATGAACATTTTTAATTCACATAACTCAGAATATGTAAAAATTCTTTATTATCTATTGTTTTAAAAGAAAACATTCCACTCTTTCAAGTCATGATTGTTAGCACAACTGAGAGACAGACTAAAAGATGGATCAAAAGTAACTTCCACCAGAGCAATACTGACCAAAATCCTCAATTAAAATATAAAAAGTCCTATTATTTTCATAACTAATTACAATGTGCACATATTAAACATCAAGCAGCAAAATCTGCCAAATGTACAGTACTTCAACTAACTGACATGTAAATTTGATGAAGATCATAAAACCTTGATAAGAATAGAAGTATAGAAGGTTAAGACTATTTAAATAAAAAAATATCTTAATCAATAAACTAATTGGACTAGTGTTCTACCATGAAAGATCATTAAAAATGGGGTGATCAAAAAGTGCACAGAATGATGTGACAGACATAAGGGATGGCTAAAAAACAGCCAAAAGTGCCTGTCCATAAACAGTGCATCCCCCATGGATCGCATTTAATCGCCATGTTTTTATAACTATACTATTACCAATGCTAAGAATTAAGTACTAAATTCATGGCAAAATTTATAAATGTAACTTATATCAATCTTGACCTTTTAGTACAGACCCCTTTCATATCTCTCACTTTTTTTTCACATCCTTAATTTAACAAAAAGAATTTGCTTTTAGCATAAATTAGTGTTTACACTGCAAGTATTTTTGAAAGATCCTTATTGATTGTACTGAACAAGTTACTAATAACAACTCAAACTATGCAATGAAATCAATATTACATAAAAAGAATATCATTATTCACTTCTTTACACATTTTCATTATTGAACAGACAAAACAAATTAGTGACGAAACAACCATCGAAAATATACTCTGTAACAACATAACACCGAGTCCAGAACTTTTTTTAATGTGAGAGTATGTTTCTCAGTTCCTGAATGAAGCATGATTTACTAAAAGCTTTATGTAAAACTCCATGTAAAACTTCTTGGCTCATCACTTGGTTTGGGCTACAAACAAACATATTTGCTGATTTTCCATGTACAATTCTTATAAATAGTCTCTTTCCTAAAATCATTGTGTCTGTAATCAACTTGTCAATCCATCAAAATGGCTGTCTATAATTCCTGCATCTCACAACCATAGTTAAACTTTTATCAATGTTGTGTTCCTTTCGTTCCAGGAGATGACCTTAACCCACATTCATAAGGTCAGAGTTTTCTCCCTGAAAGTGTGGGTAGGAAAATTTGGTTTTATCCCAAAAGGAAGTCAAACAATCCAACCTCAGAGTTTTCAACCATCTCAACCACTAAACAGCTGAACTTAATCACCAGTCAGATTCCAATCCCATAGGATGCTAGGTCTTTCTGCAACTCCTCTAAACCTAGACCCCAGTCTCAAAACCTCTATTCTTCCCCCTTGGTGATGCTCCCCTGGCTCGAACTTTACCCACCCCTAGCTGCCCTGCATCCACCACAGTGTTCCCAGACTGACTGACCCCTATGGCCGGCATAGTGCTGTCCTCTGGAATCTCTAATGCTGGCTGGTTGGGGAATGATGACATCCTGCGAGCTGCCTGCTTCTTCCCTGATGTCTTCATCTGGCCTGGCAACATGAAGCAACTCTTGCGAATAAACATACGTGCATTACCCACTGCAGGGCGAGAAGCTCCGTGTAGGATCAGGTCACTGAGATGTGCAGCATAACCATCTGCCAGGATCTGAAATACCATGGTTAAGTTGAGGATAATTTGATATATTTTTCTAAATATTGATGCTATGAACTGACTATCATATTATAGTTAAGAGAAAATGTTTTCTTTTAAAAAAACTAAACAAATAATGTTCTGCCTAAGCCAACATCATAAACAAGCATCATTTTCCCCCCAACTTTTTTGCAGCTCAGAGATGGCTGCCAAAATAAAATATTTGTGATTGGGGCAACATACCTGGGCCTGTTGGTAATACTTTTTTGCCACTTTGCCAACAATATATATCTGTTCTGGCTTGCAGCCCACTGCCTGATAAACTGCAATGTCTTTACTGGAGCCATATGCTGCATGGATGGAGATCTCTGCCTACACATCAAAACATATAAAATAAAATTCTTACTGTATGAATATCTCTGCTTAGGGAGTTAAGGTTCATGTTTGAAACAAATACCGTATGTATCCTTGGACTTGCCATTGTCCATCTACATAGATTTTACACAAAATAATTTTTAGCAATATTTTTTCTTCTGATTAAAATTTTTCTCACTGTTATGACATAACTGGAAATGTTCTGTCGAAATCTACAGTCAAAACCAATGGGGAAAAACCAACAAGGAATACTTCCCAATCTAATCCCTACCTCACTGACAAGATTTTTTAGATACTGAGTCTTCTGCCTGAGAGGGTCAGCAGAAAGCCCATCCATGAAGGAGACCATCCCATGGGGGAAGTTGTGCTGTGCTAGCCATGACACCACTCTCTTCTGCTGCATGTCTGGCCTGGCTGACACATAGATTATCAAGTAGCCTAGATCCTGCCAATGCCTGGAATACCGAGTACAAATATGAAAGGTCCTGGGTGTTATTGCTTTGGATGTGGATATAAAGTTGAATGGCAGAGACAGTTATAATCAAGTGTATTCAATGTAAATTGTTCATCGGGAAGGTACCTTAAGCATTAGCTTAAACTATTATAATAAAGGAATTTTCATATGTCTTAATGTTGATTAAATAGTTATATCAGTTCCAAACAAGAAAACAAGTTCTCAAACATTTTCCTCTGTGGGTCTTAATGTGCATTTCAAAGTGCTGTGTACATTACCTGACTACATCTACAGCTCCAGCCCTGACTTTGGGGTCTTTTCCCATGATTGACACACTGGCTGTAAAAGAGCCATCAATACTGAATACTACAGCTTCTGTCTTTGGTGGGAGAACTGCCAGGTAGAAGTCTGCACAAGTATGGTCACCTCTGGAATTACAGTTAAAATAATGAAAATTTTTCATGCAAAGGAAAGCAATTCAGCAAAATAAAACATAACAGAAAAGTTAATTTCAAACCCATCCATTTTTAACAGGTTTCTAAACAGACCAAGAGGTTTTTAAGAGAGACTAAAAAAAATTAAGCCAGTTAATTATGAAAACTAAAAGGGAAGAAATACACAAAGAGGTGAAATACATCTCAGGCATTCTTTATACAGCCTTTAAAAAAGTCTCAATAAGCACAGTGTCACATCAAACACCCCATTTCCATAGATTAGATAGACCTACTTTAGATCGACCTAACTCCCTGGGGGTTCACGCTAAATAGCTGTCAGCCGGGCGGACGCGAAAGTTAATTACACCCTTACAGCTTGTAGTAGGCGGGACGGACATTTAAGTCTGATTATCTGAAAGTAATCTAGTGAGACTCCCCGCGGGGATAGATCGATCTAAAATCTATGGGAATAGAGCCAAACTAACTTACAGGCATGTATAACATGGTGAGTTTATTAGAAGTGACATTGTACTTGATGAAACAGTTATGTCACATCTAGTAGACTCACAATGTCATATGTTTCTGTGAGTGCGATAGAACTTGATGAGAATCCATCTTAATATATAGAAGGAGAATGCATCAGGCATGCCACTGTATGATGTGGTAGATGTGATTATGTACAGGATGGGACATGGCACACCTACTACACAGGAAGGCAAGAAGATCACATACCTGACTACCATTTTAACAGGATACATTCCCTGGCTGAGACGTTTGTCCTCAGGAATTTTAAATGAGACTCTTCCATGGCTGTCTGTTATCTCAGTGCCAAAGTACAGCCACTCTCCTGAAGGTGGCTGTGTCATCACATGGATGTCAACCTTAACAGACATATTCATATTGTACATAAAACAGACAATAAATTAGAAAGTAATACCTTAAGATACAGTTGAATTTATTATCAACTTCTTACACCATCATATGTCCCCTTTTGATTTGATTTGTCAACAAATCTTATGAAATGTTTTTTTTTTCCAAAATTAGAATAATAATATCAACATAGACAAACTAAAATCTTTGCATAACTCAAATAATTGTTATGGTGCCACTGTGTCCAACTTATCTGGGGTCTACTATATTTGATCCACTTTACAGAAAAAGTTATATTTCTGAAAAAGTCTGAAGCTGCCTACACATTTATCAATAAGGACAATATACTGCCTAAATTTAGTATTTATCTGGATCATCTTAAAAACAGAAGAACTCTTATCTTACTTTTTCCCTTGACAATTGTACAATGTCTAAGGGTCCATACATAAACCTCGCAGCAAGAACCTGAGGCCTATCTTCTTGAACTATAGTGTCATTACCACGGTGATTTGGACCTACATTCTGCAATGGAAAAAATAGCAATCATCAATAAATTTAAAAGAAACATGTAACCAGCTCAACAAAATCTTAAAATCACTTAGTATGGAATTCATATGTCCCTTAAAATGACCTCTTCATAACTGTTTTCAGGTAAAACTTAATAATATTATAATAATAACAATTAATTAATTTCAAGTCTAAAATCCATTTACACTGTTCGAGTGACTTTACACAAAACAAATACTTAAGAACACAATGACCAAGATATGTACAAAAAATTTAAAGTAAAACCGAGATTTTAACTCTCACATAAAACCATTTACAATTTTAATTGTAATCTTGAAAGATGATCAATAATAACTTACTCTGACTTTGATAGTAGTTCTCCGGTGTAACCACTTCTCTCTAGGCTGTGGAGGTCTAAATATTGAAGCATCCTTTGTTGTCTCAGACGCTGCATACATGTCATCTTGGCGCACAATCTAAGGGAAAAATTTCCTGCATGAATGCAACTTTAAAGGTTGGTAAGAATTTCCTTATGCTCAAAACTTTGACAAAATTAAATCAGTTGCACAATTATTTGTTATGAGCTAGCAGGCCCGTAGCCAGGGGGGGTTCGGGGGGTTCAAAAGAACCCCCCTTTTTGCTCTGGGTAAAATTTGACCTAGGTACATGGGGATTATATGGTAAAAGGTCCACTTTTTCAAAAAAAGAACCCCCCCCCCTTTGAAATTGCTGGCTACGGGCCTGGCCCAGTTTAAACAGAAAATTGAATGTCACAATATATTCCAGCTGAATCAATGTAATGTAATGTTAATCAATATAATGTAATTTAATATGATAGTTACATCAAGGTAACATAATTCTGTATTATGCTATAGCTGTACCTGTCTAAGAATAAAAGCCACAACATCTGTGGACTCCCAGTAGCTGGAGTGGAATAAGTGAGGTAGAGCATTGACAGGGAAACTGTTCAATGCTTCAGGACAGTAGAGAGCATAGTCTAGACGCTTGCTGCCCCACCACTTGCTCACAACTGGAAATATATGAGAAAAATGTAATATATATAATCATATTTATAGTACCTGATAGTGGAAAGTTTGAGTTTATATCTTAATTAAAGACTCTTGATTGACACTGTATAATTTACCTTTACTCATGAGGTTATATTAGTTTTATAACAATTATTGTACCAAGCAATGGTTTCTGTTATGGATCTGGGTATCACACTTTAACACACCAATTAAATTATTTCTGTGCAGGATTTGTTACAGTATTTTGATATAACCAACAGCATTTCATCGCAAAAAGAGATCAGTTCTGTTAAAGCAAAGCACTCCATATTCAAAGCAATCAGCAGTAGCTCCACCAGATTCTACATATTCTAAAATACTATAAGCCTCTATACATATTTTGTGTTGTACTTTGAATGTGCTATCAATATAATTGTGACTGTTTTAGGTGCATCAGAGTGTTTAAGTGTGTCAAGTGTCACAGGCTTCATGATTTGTAGATCCTTGTGGTATTTGTGTTACACCACAAAGACCAGTATAGTTTACCTGACGCTATAGAAGAGATGACCGGGTCAGCCTGGCCAGAAAGCTGACTGACCATACTTATGTTGCTTTCACGCCTGTCCATGGGGGCTCCTCTTGGAGAGCTAACAGTGCCCTCTTGTGCCAAAAACACTGAACTCTGGGTCTGCACTGTCTCCACTACAGTAGAGTGAATGCAGTATAAATGTGTGAAGCACCAAGTACTTACAGTTAGAAATTCACTTTTTTTACTTGCCATATATGAATAATTATCAAATACTGGGTTATACTTACAGAATGATTTCATCCAAGATGCAAGAAATAGGTGGCTATACTGAAAAGCACTAGCCTCTTGCCAGCAAGGCAGATTGTACTTCTAACCCAGAGTACTATATTGCTAGTAAGCCAGATTGAATTTCTAACCAAGAGTACTATATTTATGCAAGACAGCAGATATCTTCACCACTCAGACATCATTAGTGATTACAACACTACAAAATTGTGAGTCAAAAGGAGCACCGTTTGAATTTTACTCCTTTTTTTCCTTTAAACTGTTTCCCCTTATGAAAAAGCAAAGGTGAAACCTGTAATTAGGAAAACGTGCAAAAATATTACTAAAAGTTTGAAATCAGGGCTTATAGTTAGCAAACAACTTCAAAGCAATGCTTAGTGATCACACGATAGTGATTTTTCCATGCTCACCAACATGAAGAGACTGTCCATCACCCAGTGGAAATTTGGAATATCGAGATATCTTTACAGGGGGCACCTGTCTAAATCTGTCGTCTAGCAGCGGCTCTAACCTTGCTGCAGATGGATCTGATGAATGGAAAAGGTTGTACAGCTGGAGACAGGAAGGCTTCAGAGGAGGAACTGGAATAGAATAATGCAGAAATGATGATATAAACTGTTTTTCACTTTCATTTTTCTATATGTGCTTTTGACAAGTTTATATTTTATTATAGTTCACATTCTGCACTTTATCAACCTTTTGAGCTAAATGAGCTTAACATTATTTTCAAGATTTAAAAACTTTTCTCATTTGCATCAAAAATATCAACTTCACAGTCATATCTTACACACCAGTTTACCCTGTGCATCATATCAGACACATCCAAAAAAAAACACACCTAACACGCAACACACCTGGTTTACCACCCCACCCACATGCTGTAACAGCTTTATCTTACTGTGTTTCTCATCCCAGCTGTTTATCCGCCTATATGCAAGTACCAAAGCTAAAGGAGAACCAAACAAGAAGAAATCAGTCACTTCAAATTCTAATTTAAGGTCATTGTTTCCCTCTGTCTGACTGCTCCCTGTACTGATCCGCCTTGTAGGTGGCAGTGATAAATGTCTCATGACAGGCTTATGCTGCAATGGTTTATCCTCATTACTCGATATACCACGATTGTCACTTTGTGCCCGCTTATATGTTGCTCTGGGATCATCGGTAGTTAGGTCAGGGTTACTAGAACTGAGTCTCCTATCGGGTTCTACATTTAATTTCTGTACAGGTTCGTCATCCCCTTCAGTTAGACTGGAGTGGCTTCCGTGACGACTGTTTGTGCGACTAAGTAGTGATTGTGAAGCATAACATAAAGCATCATAGCCAAAGATGCCACCAGAACAGTCTCCTATCATGCACACCTGAAAATAGAAATCAAATTAAATTATACAATTACATAAAATTATATTTAAAAATACCCCATAAAATTATGTATGATATTTTATAGATCATTATAATAAATGTATATAACTAATATAGAGGTATGGAGGATAGTTAATTATGGGATCATTATCTTTCTTTGTCATGCAGAGGTCCTCACAGACCTCAAGGTCTTTAAATATGCAGTCTGCAAAGTTAGCGACAATTTAAAGCAAATCTTATGGAATACTGGGTGTTGGATCAACAAAAAACTAGAGGATCAGAGAGGCGATACCGCCTCCTGGTATTGTACCACCAGCTGGAGAAAGTGCATTCGTATGGGAAGGAAAAAGAAGGGGGAGGGGTTGACAAGCTGTATGAAATGCAGTAAACAAGGGTTATCATTTTTTATAGATAATTATTATTTTTTTAAATCAGGTGGGGAAAAATAAAAGGTCAAATACAAGGATGTAGTACCATTGTGAATGTAGGACTTCCTCTCTAACTGTGATGGAAACAATATTTCAAATTTTGTTTATATTTGGGTTAAGCCGTGCTGCCTTTTAATCTGTAGTTGACATTGGCCTACACGGGCAACATCGTATATTCTTTAATTTTGTGCTTGTTTGTATCATATATATTAATGAAAATTTAAAAATGGGTTGATGCAGCTGTTTTGACATTTAAAATAATTAGAATATCAAAACTGGGAGAGAAATTATAGTTAAGGAAATTGAATCCACCAAAAAAGTGAAAAGCTTGTTTGGGTAGTGCTGAAAAAAAAAGATAAACAACAAAATATAGTTGCCATTTTTAAGAAACTAAAAAGAGTTTGTATGCGATTGAAAAATATCTACAAATAAATTTTAAAATTTTGGGTATTTTGATATTGAAAAGGACAGTTATACAAATACTATCACATTGATGTTGAAAATGAAAAACAGTTTTTAAAGGATTGAATGTAACGGGTAACTGATACTAAAACTTCATTGAGCTTAAATGAAATGTGAGAGCAAATACTTCACATGTACAGCTGATCAAATGGGTACTAATGCCAAACTTATCATGCATTAAAGCAAGTATATCTATTCATTGTGATAATTAATTTGTTACACTTCATACAAATCGAGTATAGGTGGAGCTTGGATAACCAGAAACACATATTAATTAATTGTACTAGTTTCTTCCAGGCCTCATATCACCTCAAGAAATTAACTGAATTAATGACTCTTTCACCCATTAAATAGTTTTAGACTACACCTTTTAAAGACTTTTTGATCACAAATTTAACCTACTAATATGACCTACTTTTGTTACAACATCTGTTTGTCTTCCTAGTTTACAATACCATAAGCAGATGATTGCCTCTCCAACATTTAGAGGTGTCAAAGGGTACACTAGCCTGTTAGATCATATTTACGTACAAAATGTAAGCACTATAGAGACCGGTACACTGTGCACATATTACAGTGACCATGATCCTGTATACGCTATTATACCTATCAATGCATAGAATATTAAATATGTACATATTTGTAAAAAACAGTGTATATATGTAAGTATTGCTAATATGTATTATACGCAATTTAAAATATATTTCTTCAGAGATGTTAATTTGGATTAAGAGATGTTTTGGTTTTATTTCTATTATATATGAATATTCTAATATGTAAAATTTCCAATTTACAGTAAGACCCCATTTCCACAGATTTTAGATCGATCTATCCCCATGGGGAGTCTCACTAGATTACTGTCAGCTTAGCTGGCTTAAATGCCTGTCCTGCCTACTAAAAGCTGTAAGGGAATAATTAAATTCCGTGTGTGGTCTGCTAACTGCAGGGAGTTAGGTCGAACAAGTAAGATCGATCTTAATCTTTGGGAATGCGCTCTAAGATTGTCAGTATATCACTTCCTATTCAAGTTCAATGGTAACTATGGGTGTATCTCTGCTAGTTTTGATGATATAAGGACCGGAAAACTTGCAAAGTGAAGTTCATCATGAAAAGTAGGTCAAAGGTCAATATCAAGGTCACATGGACACCACCTCCAGTATTGTGCTTGACAAGCTGTACTTAATGCAAAAAAACAAGACGTCTCTAGTGTTAACAGTTGCACAATTACAGAGTTTTTAGTTTCGGCATCAAATGACTGCTTCTCCGGTGAAAATGCACCTATTGACCCCAAACCCATGAAGATGAAGGGAGTCCCTAAATAGTAGCCCTCACTGTAATATGAAAGCTTAGGTCTGTGTAGTTTCTGAAAATTGGCACAAACAATTCTTTTTTTGCAGAAAATTCCCATTTTTAGAAAATTTTGGCCTGTTTGACCTTGAAATAAAGGTCAAATGTCAAATCCAAGGGCATATTTGGAAACTCCATATATGACTTTTTTTCAGACCTCTATAGTAACTTTTTCCATAATTCCTTCAGTTTGGGAGATATTTAGCATCAAATTTTTAAAAATTTTGACAAGGGTGCATTTCAGTGAGCGCCACACCCAGACCAATGCACCAACTGATACAAAAATACCAGGGGGTTCAAGTTGAGATTATATGTGACCTAAATCCAAGAGATGGGGACACAGGTCCTTGCGGTCTAGGAGGAGAAGCGGTAACGGTGACTTGTTTCCGGCGCCCGACTGCGGAGCCGGCGGAGCCGCAGGAGCCGGCGGAGCTGTACGAGACGGGCCGGGACTAAAACCATGAGTACCGCCAGCGTATACGCTGGTGGTACTAATTATGAATTTTCAACATTACTACTCCAACCAAACAAGCAGAAATTGAGCAGTTGTTTTAAATTCTTTTCCATCAACTAAAGCTTTCATCTTCAGATTAGTATATTTTGATTTGAACAAGTAGTTCTTTTAGGTCTTCCAGCCTAATGGGCTAGAAAGTAAAAAGTGAAGACTGATATGTTAACTTTCACACGTCCATTATGATATTGTAATGTAATGTAATGTAATGTAATGTAATGTAATGTAATGATCAGTGGCACATACCTGTCCATTGAAGCCCTTCCCCTCCTCTGACCTAAGAAAGTCGTTGTAGACCTGGTTGGCTCTAGCAATCACCTGAATTACTTGGTCCTGGTAATCTGCATTGGACGTAGCAAACAGAGAAATGGCACCAAGGGGAAGATTGTCTGTCAGGTAAGGAGATGTGTCATCATTGCTGCGCTGACTGTCATAACCAAATGGGCTTAAGCTGGAAGTAGGAAGGAGATGAAAGTTTTCATTCTTACTTAAATTTTACACCAACAAATAGAAAATGTATCAGTGTGCAATTATAGCAAAAATCACTACTACCATATATGATTCTTAAAGAATTAAGCAAGTAGCCACTTCAGTGTATGTATACCTTGCTTATATATATATATATATATACACACACACACACACACACACAAAAGAAAACAATTTTATTTACACCTTATTACATTTTTAAACTGAAATTATTCAGTGTGTATAGTAAATGTCATTGTTTCACAGAGAATACCTGAAGAAAATGCCTTTCTAATACCTAAAAAAAGTATTTCTGAAAATTCTCATATTTGTTTCAAACTGACTGTATTCAAATACCTTTCTAAAATCTGCAAGGTTTCGGCACACAGGAGGGGACATCTAACAAGTCGTATAGCCAGATGACCATACATGGCGGGATAATGTGCTCTGATCACTTTATCAAAAGTCCCTCGTAGTGTGCTGATATCTGAACGCTGAGAGCCAAGCTCAAACTGCCCAGAATCTAGGATGCTGCCTGGAAAACAATAGAGACACACTGCACTTATACTATTTATAAACTGTCTAATCTACCCAAATAATAAAAGGTGTAGATCTAGATGTTTATACATACTGTACAAAAATAACATGATAAGCAAAAGCAGACAATGAAGCAAAAATTTCACATCAATCTCTAAATGGCGCAATGAACAGATAATCCATTTGCAACATTTTGATACAGAGAGGGTAATTTTTACTTCAATTGACAGATGTCAATCGGGGTGACACTTACCTCCATGGAGCACCAGAAAGAGAACATTTGTGTTGCACACAGGTGATGGTGATAACTTGGAGGATGGAGTGTTCGGAGGGGAATGGTCAGACCTCTTAGGTCTCGATTTCATGGACTGGAATTGCTCTAGGCGACGACTAAATGTGGAATCTGTACCTAGGTAATAAATGCACACAAAAAGAGCATTACGATTAGGTCATATATTATAGAAGGCAATCTAAGTTACATATAGCCATGTCATTACCTTATTTTTGATATTTGTACTTCTGCCACCTTACACTACAAACTACTACGTTACCTTAAATGCTACCTGTTAATGTCAAACTTTTCTGAAAGGCCAAATGTCACATATAATACCAAATGATCCTATGTACTGTAACACATGAACCAGGTGTTGCAGGATGTTATCAAATAATACCAGCACTCTTACTTTCTCCTAGAGTATCAGCATCCTCAGCTTCATGGATCATCTGACAGTCTATACTGTCCAAGTATTCCTCTTCCAGGATTTCATCAGGGGCTAGTTTGCCAGCATGGTCACCAGATGAGAGGGCCTCCATACTACTGGTCCTCACAACACCAGAGACTGCCGTGTTGGCATCCTCTGCAAATTCCTCTGAAACCAGAATAAGTGCAATGTGATCACATCAGATATGTAAATCTATATCATTGCACTTCTTATCATTTTAGATTTTATATAATATTTTTATATCTTATATTTTATTTCATATTATATTCAAGATGGGGCAGATATATAACAAAGCAATAAAATCTGCACGGCAAATGATTCTAGTAACTTTAAATGTGTTGTTCAAAGCAAGATGCCTTGAAAATGTAATCTGGTTGACTGCTTGACTGTTATTTTCATGGACTTAAGTTTTAGGCTTCGTTCACATGCAATGTCTATTTTCTAAATTCTATTTTCTATTTGCGGTATGTCTTATGATCACGGTCTGTGGCCTGAATATCCCGGCATAATTACTGGCAGCGCGAGCCAGTTAATATAAGTTACTATAAGTAACTGGCTCGCGCTGCCAGTAATTACGCGGCGGGATATTCAGGGCACAGACCGTGATCATAAGATAGCGCAAATAGAAAATAGAAAATAGACATTGCATGTGAACGAAGCCTTATATGCCCTGGATTAAGTCACATAAATATGGCACATCAATTATCACAGTAACTCACAAAATGTAACCTTAAAAATAATGACTTTCTCACTTGACAGCAGTAAGTGGTGATAACAAGTGCAAAGAAGCATACCTTTATTACCAAGCTGCACAATGTGGGTTTTTTTAATTACCTGTTCTTACAAATATAGTTATCTTTTAAATTTACAAATTGAGAGAAGATATGGACTGAAATACTTCCCAGTTTGCTGTAAATGCACACTGCAAAAATTCTGCAGAAATGGCTTAATGGTGCTACAGGGCTAAAGATGATAAGAACACCATTATTCTTGAATTACTGAATCCAGACATGCCCTGCCTCAATTACTGAGCATTTCCAGGAATACAGCTTGATGTTCCAGGGGTATATCTCATTTATCAACTTGTGTAAATTAATTTCCCCCTCTTTGAATGTCGATCCTGCTTTGTCTGTTTTATTTATTACTCTTATTTTCATAAGACAGATCATGGCTGTGTCATTGTGATGCATGCTTTTTAACCTAGCAAATATTGTCACTTTAACATTGAAATGGCCCTTTGTGTTTTGTAAAAAAAAACATAGATTTATTGCTGGTGGTATAAAAAAACTTAAAAACACTAACACTACTACATACGTGTGTATTATGTTAATGAACAACATACAGAAACTGTGCTGTAACACAAATATAATC